AAACTTTTCATCGAATATTCCACTGGGTATTTGGATGATACACTGAACATCTGTTGTAATGGAGGGTCACTAAAAGTCTGTTTTTTGGAAGAGGCAGAAAGAAAGACTTACTTTTTGTTTGTTCTTGCTGGTTTCAATGACCAGTTGTGGTTCCTAAGTATAGAGGTTAGTGAAGCTGACTTCTATATGCCTGCAACTGGTTCAGTGCTAGCTGGAGAGAATCAGGCACTTTGCAAACAAATTGTTGAAGCAGCTTCGATATTCTTTACCATCTTTTCATGGAAAATGAGAGGATGTAATGTTAGCAAATTTCTGAAGGAAAAATTGGCTAGCAGGATTCTATGTGGCCTATTAGGTATCTCAGCACATCTCCCCCTGACTTAGTACATGACAAAACAGGCTGTGCAGTCACACAGCCTTTTATAAAGGTGTCATGCACATTGAAACACTGCAGATTTCTGTGTTTTGAAAGTAGGGTGTCCTGTCTGGTGGAGTTTTGTCCATTGCCACAGCATAGTACTGTACACTGGATGTTATGAACAATTTTGAATATTAGCTAGAGCAAAGCTACTGATCACCTAATTGGTTAGTTGTTGCCTTAGTAAAGCTTGCTGATCTTTAATATGGAATAGCTATAAATATTAACACCCACAGCTTTGTAAATGCAAATAAAATTATGGCAAGTTTAACATTTAGGCATGTGCAGGAGCCTGGGTGTGTCAGGAGGAGAGGCCACTGTAGGCCAGCTATCTTGGGTGGCACATTTGGAACACAAACTATCAAACGCAGCACTGTACCAGCCTTGCTTGTGCGCTGTTCTTTGTGCTGGTGCCCCCACCTATCAGCCAGAGAACAGGAGCTCTTTAAGTCACAGCTCCCAGCATTACTTCCAAGACCTGAATTCACCTACCTAAAAGTGTTTGTATATACATGTATACCTGTTGGAACTGGAGTCCAGGAGTTGAGCATCGTTTCTCAGAAAATGTTGGCTCGTCTCTTAAAACTGGAGTACTAGTATTCTGTGTAATGTCTTATGGATGTTTAAAAGCAGTCAGGACTTAAGTACTATTAAACAGTTCACTGTCTCATCCTTCATTCATGTCAAAATTAATTGGACAAAACTGCTGCCAATTCACTACTCAAAGATGGTAAGTAAAGATACTTGCAAAGAAACTCACCAGTTGAGTTCATGTTCTGCAGCAATGTTGCCAATTAACTTTTAGTAAGGGTTTACAACTTTAAAGTACTTCATATATATCTTGATCTCTAAAACATGAGTTTTCAGCATTTTTGTAAAGTTGGAAGAGAAAAATATATTGTTAACATTTTTTGGTCTGAATATAAGATAGAAAGTGCAGTTTGAATGTATATATATTTGTAGTGTTTGATCCCAGAGTTTAGCCGTACACAGCTCTGTCTCATATACTCCATGATGAACCACTTGGACAAGAAATAAGGGTGCACAAAGAGGAGATGGGAGAATTGCAAGCAAACGGTACTTGTGTTACTTCTTTGCACATTAGTCACTTCTGAAAGTACACTGTAGTTTCAGTAGAACTTAGCAGTGTTTTGCACATTGTTATATTGGTTTAAAAACATTTTTTACTTTGCAGTTGTTATTTAACTTACAGATATGAACAATAAAGTTTTGTTGTTTGAACTTCTGCCTAGTTGTAATGAAAGGAGAAGTACAAACTCTGCAAGCAGATTTTATAGAAGTATGAAAACAGAGCCAGCAGTTTACACAATCTACAGAAATGATATGTCATTACCACAAACTAGCTACTACAGGAAGTAACTCTTGAGTTACATGCCAGATTATATATTAACTTGAGACTCTGCATACATAAAATTATTTGGGGACAAATATTCCATGTTCTTTAAGAGCCCCTTAAACCTCTGGGGAAGAAAAGTCTTAGCAGACAACTCCCAACTCTTTTATAGGACAAGTTTTGATATAAAAGTTCATATGTCCTCAAAATATGGAATGTAATGTAACTAAGGAGGCAGTTGTTTTAATGGATCACCTCTGAGACATGAAAATATGTGTGCGCAGTATCCACATGTCCTCTTGACCAACACAGGTCTCTTATGGTGCTGTTGCCTTATAGGAACAACAGATTTTGGGTAAATCCCTGATGCTGAAAACATGCAGGTAAATAATTTAGCTAATGATGTTAATTTAATTTAATGCTGTAGTTGACTTGCCAAACTAGTTGCTTATGAATTTTGTAGCATTTGTAGTCTGGGTAGCTAGCTTCTGAATGTTAGTGATAATTTTACCCTCCAGCAGAACGGCTTTCTACAGTTATGCACTAAATACTCAAAACTGATGGCAACTTCTAGAATCACTGGTAGTAGTTAGGTAAGAACAAGTTGTTTATAATTTCTTCATGGCTTAAACTAGGTGCTGCCTCCAAAAAAGAAGCACATCATACATTTTCATCCTCTTCTCCGTTCCTTCCTCTTGCCAATAGCATTTCACACACCTGTACTGCAACACAGAGATAAATAAAGAATAATTCAGCCGAAAATTTACAGGATAAAAAAATGTCTTTTAAATGGACTTGCTACCACTGCATGAAGGGCAGCATCAGTGCAAGAGAATGTAGAAATAAGAATCAGAGAAAGACAGGACTCCTTCCTCTTCAAAGGCTCCAGCACCTACACTATTCAGGTAACAACAGGACAGAACATTGTCCCCCTTGTTATCACTGGTGAGAGAGTAGAAGAAATCTGAAGTCAAGGCAATTAGGTGCTGCTAGCACTTCATTGTTGCTCTTTAAAAGGATGATAAAGTGGTGGTATCTTTTGATAAATATTTTCTCTAGTTTGCTTAGCCCAGTTGTCACAGGCGTTTTGAAAGGAGTGCACCTGGCTGAATTGTTAATTGTGCTCTTACTTCTTTTTCATGGGGAGGTCTTGTGGTGTTTTTAAGAAAACAGAAATAGAAAACTAACTTTCGTATTATATGCAGCATGTCCGTGTGGGATGGCCACAGATTATACAAAAATTAGTTAGGAAAGGCTTTTTGACTGATAACAACAATTTTAATTTTCCTACTGTTGCCAGCTTTGAGTCTCTTTGCCCCAAACTTTGTGCTTTATCCAAAGACCTAAAATTTGGAGTCTGCAAGCCTCGGAAATGGAGAGAAGTTGAGCATAAAGAGATAAGAGAGCCTGCTGAGTATTTTCAAGACTGAGATTTGGAAATAAGTTTCTCTCCTCCACTTACAAAGAATCTAATACAGGACCTTATGAACCATGGCACATCCATATTTAGATTTTCTTTACCTATATACCTTTTTCCCCCCTTTATTTTTATATGGACAAGTTTTAAAATAAATGCATATATGAGATAAATTCCACATCTTAAGTCTTGCAAATAAGGGATGTTGTAGGAGTGGTATGCTTCCTACATGTTTTCCTATTGATGAGAGGGACATCACAGGCTTTACTTTGGTAAGATTAATGTTTTCAGTCAGCATTAAACCTGAATGCTGAAGTACCAAAATGCTGTCTTGTCTACTGCTGCCTTCCTGTAGATCCATCAGTTTTAACTCTTGGTAATTCTCATCCATTTTAGACTTCTTTCCATCTTCCACTTAGTATCATCTCTTCTTAGTAGCATTTTGCCACTGGAGCTACAGAATATCTATCTGGAGTTTCATGACACCCCCATAAGTGTGGAAGTGAGAATGAAAATGTAGCTATTCCCAGATTATAATTTTACGTTGCAAACAGTAAAGTTAAGCAACTGAAAAAGAAGTACAGACTTTTAACTGTTGATTTTTAATTAGAACTCCTTCTCTTCCCCATGCAATTATATCAAATCCATGCCGTGTTTTAGAAAAATGGGGAGTGGTAGCTCTTCTTACAGCTCACAGTGGAAATTTTACCATTCCAGTGATGCAGAAGGGTTTGTCTGGAGCCCAGAATAGTTCAGCATTATCATCGTTACACCTCCCCTGTCTTCAACAGTTAATGGCTCAGTTTCTGCAGAATAGCGCAGAAATAATAATAATAAATAGCGCAATGGCTAATCCTGTGTAAGAGTCCCAGTACAGATATGACTTTAAATTTCTTGAAAGCCTTGGAAGGCTCGAGAGGAACAAGTCAAATGCCTCTGCATATGAATGAAAAGAAATGTGCAGTTTAGACCTTGAGTAGCTCAGAGTAGTCAAAGTTAAGTAAATTAATGTTATTCAATGAAAAAATCTTTTTTTACAATAAAACATTATAAAAAAGAATCTGCATTTATTATGAGAGTAAAGCAGGGGATATGGGAAGTCAGGAATGGAAATGAAGGAACAGGATCACTTATATTTCCTTTTTTAAAAGCGGAAATGTCATATTTTAGCTAAAAGTCGATACTTTCCTAGCCCAGCTGTTGTGCTTCACATGAAACTGAGAAATACTATATAAAGCTCTTGCTGTTATGATAGAATTTCTCTCTTGTTTTACTGCAGTTCCCTTCTAAACCAGGTCCTAGTTCTGCATTTAATGTAAAATAAAAGGAGCCAGGTGCTTCAGAACTGCCAAGACTGAATTAGGAGGGGAGCATCACCATTTTTCTTTAACGGTAGTCATTGGTGTTTCACATACATTTAGTATCCATTAAAGTTTTAAATTTCACTTAAGATCCTTCAAATCCTTTTCACCCTTTTTTCCAAATAGCTATTTGATGTTTTACTTGTTTTAAATGGTAGAAAAAAAATCAGAACCAGCTAATTATTAAAAATGGCGATACTAAACATGACTCTTCGACTGACACCAAACTGTTTTCCACAGAGTATTTTTCTATTTCAAGAGAACTTTTCTGTAATATAAAAACATATTTGTGAAATCTTCAATAACATGATAGGATTTTTAATGTATAAAGTTGTGCATGGCATTAACTTAGTTTAAGAATGCAAATGCTTCCTGTCAGAGACTCTGTTACCTCCAGGACCAACAATTTCTCATTACTCAAGCTCAAAGACTTTTCCCTCTTTTGTGTAGGGTATGATTCAAGGAGTGCCCCACACAAATTTCTCTTGGGGACAGTGCTGAGGTGAGTATCAGACAGGGAGAGAGTTGTTTTCTGTTTATTAGATATTCAAGATATGGATGTGCCTCTACAGGTTTTCTCCAAAGGCAGCTTTTCACTCATAATGGCTTAAAAAGTCTGGGTCCTGTCATCTGTACAAACCAAAAGCCTTAACTGCTCAGAAGGTCATGTATTTCTGATAAATAATAAATAATTTCTGTTCATTGTTATTTTAGAAAAAGAAGAGTTCAGGAGCTTGAACAGCAGAATTACGGAATTGGAAAGTTATGTAGACATCATTAAATTCAGAGTTCTATGGCCACATTAAATAACAGAAGCTTTGAACTGATAAACTCTTCATTGCAGAATCCATATGGGGCCATTCTCCTAAAGTGTCTTCCCTCAAGGAAGCAGCTCTAATCTACACTATTTCAAGACTTCTTGGACACATGAAATTATAAAGGAATCTCATTGGCAAGTGAAATATGGCAACAAGGAGTCATATCCAGTACCGTTGCACCTGGTAAAAGCCTACATGAAGTGACTGCAAACATGCCAGCATTGGTACTGGTGAGTCTTGTTGTGCTGTGTGTTCCTTGGACACTGGTGAGTGGATAGGACTCATAATGAGTAGGACTGCTCTGCTCATCTCCAGAGCTAGCACCAACAACCTGAGAATATCCCCTTAGTCTCTTTGTCTACTCCTAGCCTCAGCAGAGGTGATGAAAGTATCACTTGTCACAAGAGGCCTTGGCACCACATTTCTAACCTCCTTATCACGTTTTCCTTGGGATATGTTACTAGCCCTTTGCATCAGAGCCACAGTATTCCTCAGCACTACAGGTGTGCTAGAGGAGCCTTCTCCCCAAGATTCCCTGTGGCAGGTGATAAGGATATTCAGTTTCTGGAAGTGAAGTGAGATCTCTGCTGTCAAAACAGTGAAAGTGCAGCTCCTTGTTCTATGGAACACCAGGTTCCAAACATGTCAGCACTTGAAACATGGATTAAGTGCAGAAAATGCAATGACAATTTTCTGGCATAGGTGATTGGTGAGATAACTAGAGGAGATGCCCTGGCTGGATTTATTACTCATGAACAATCTGTCTGAGGGTGTAGAGGCTGAAGGCAGCTTTGGCTGCAACTTTGAGTTTGTATAGTTTAAAATTGTGAGATAAACAAGAAAACTAATAAAATTGCAAGTCTTGACTTCCAAAGGCAGATTTCAGCTTGTTTGGAAATCTGTTGGACAGGATCACATGAAAGGCAGTCAGTTGCCCTGGCACAACTAACTGAACTTCACCTTCTCAAGACACAGAACTGGTTTCTTCCAAATCAAGAAAGGTAAGCAAAGGTGCAAGGCTAGTATGGGTGAACAGAACACGCTAGACTCACTGCAAATATGAAATCTAGCCAATGGCAGCATGAGTGTGCTACCCATCCACTTCACTGTGGTGAGTGGAGTGGCCATGATGGATAGAAGAGGCAAATGTCATACCCGTCTTCAAGAAGGCTGAGAAAGGGGATCCAGGGAACTACAAGCTAAGAACTCTAACCTCAGTCTCCTGGAAGATTTTTTCCTCCTGGAAATAATTTCTGAGCTCATGAATTGCAAGAAGGTGATTAAAAATAGGCAGCATGAACTTACCATGGGCAAATTGCCACTGATAAATCTGATTGATTGATCATTCTGAGGTGGACTGGTTCCATGGATGAGGGAAGAGTAGTGCAGGTTGTTTACCTTGACTTTAGCAGAGCTTTTCCCAAGGTCTTTGATAGTATCCTACCAGTCAAAATATGGACAGGATAAGCAGATTACAAAGTGGATGGAAAACTGGTTGAAATTCCAGGCCAGACAGGTTGTGATTGGCAGTATAAAGTCTATCCCACAACTGGTTGCTAGTGGCAGTCCTCCTCAGGAACAGATTATGGGGTAAATGCAGTTTGGTGTCTTCACTGCTAATGATCTGATCTAATGGGAAAGCTTGCACTATCAGCAGATTCATGGATCATACCAGCCTTCAGGGAAGGAGTTGATATGCCAGAGGGCAGGGGTGTTGCTTAGAGGGAACCAAGACAAGCTGGAGGAATGTATTTTCAGGAGTCTCACCAAGCTCAGCAAAGACAGGTAAGAAGTCTTGCACGTGCTGGAGATGAACTGATTGAAGAGCAGCTTTGTAGAAAGGGACCTGTGGTACTGGTGAACATGACGAGTATGAGTTGGCAGTTGGGGCAAACAAGGTCAGCCTCATCCCACATTGTATTAGCAAATTGTAACCAGCAGGTCTAGGGAAGTAATTGTTCCCTCTCACTGGTGCTTGTGAGACTGCTTCTGGAGTACTGTTTTTGCTGCCCAGTACAAGAGACAGACACATGGTTTTGAATACAGCAGAGTCACTAAGATCACACAGGCTGAAGTACGTGTGTATGAGCCAAGTGTGACAGTGTGAATATAGGAAAGAGATCCAAACTCTTCTTGGAAATGTATGGTGACAGGGGAAGAGCTAATGGACACAAGTTGCAATACAGGAAATTCTGCCTGTAAGGAAAAACATTTTCATTGTTAATATAATCAAATGCTGGAATGGACTTCCAGTCAATATTGTGGAATCTCAGACCTTGAAGAAATTCAAAAGCTGACTGAGCAAGATGCTTTGAATGAGGAATTGAAATAGCAGACTTACAGGGATCACTTTCAACCTGTCCATCAGAGAAGAGGAGCGAAGACCAGCAAATGGCAATAAATTTGCCACTGCAGATCTGCTTGAACCCTTATTGTCAGAGAGCTCTAGTGTCAAAGATGAGGCACCTACGCATTTCTACACTGAAAGATGGCAGCTGAGTTTTCATTTGAGAACTGCAAGTTTCAATGAAGAACCCTAAGGCCTGAATATCTTTTTGAATCTGGTTCTTAATAGTCAACTTAAAAAAGAATGGATCTGTTTTCAAAGAGTACAGGCTTTTCTCCTGAAGACATGAAAGACATAGGAGGATGATTGATCAGGATTGCTTTGAGGGATGTTTTCTTTCCTGTTGTCCTAAGATGAGATTGGAGGTTATAGGAAGTGGCAGATGTTTTGGAGTGGCCCTATTGTTTACAGGACTTTAAATTGTTGTTTTCATTCGTGAGTTTCCTATCTGCTAATAGTGAATGCATACTTGTAGCTAGTGTACATGATTGCATTTGGCACCTTTTAGGAGTTAGATGGTAGTTGTTCTCTAGCTGGTGCTAATTTCTATTTTCAGACACTGCTTAACTTCAGCATTAGCAAAATTATATGAGAAAGTGATGTTGCTGCACTCTGTGTTGTGCAGGGCTGTAAATGTAGGCATGCATTACAGGAATAATTGTATAGAATGAAAAGCTAATATACATCAGTGTTTTGTTAAAAAGTATGCACATTCTATACATAGTGCTTGGGAAAAAAGTCATTTTCTCTTCATGACTGATTCAATTCTATATATTTTATAAGAAAACTTTTTGTGTCACTAAAAATAAATAAATATTATACATATTTAATGGAATATGTGATTTTTCCTTCTTCTAGTGTAATCATTCACCATTTTGTAGCAGCTTCCACAGGGATAGGTAACAGGACAAATACCAGTGAATGGATAATCACAATCCTTATAAGAAAAAAAAAATCCTTCTTATTTTTAACTTTTGGTAACTTGAAAATATTTCTTGTATTTTGTCTTAAATACAGCATTTCGTCATTTGTTTAATAATGCCTCTCTCTCTATGGTAAAACAGTTAGAATATAGACCTTCTTCCTTTCCTCAGTGAAAGGAGGATAAATCAACATGCTGGCTTATATTTTAATAGAGTTATGGGGAAGGGGAAATGAGATTTTTTCAAATGGGGAGGGAAAAAGTATTTATCAGATTTCAACCATTGGATTAAATTATATCATGCTCTGTAAGAAAAACTATGTTGCTCTTCAGTTTTGTATTCAAAGAGGTACTATGATCCAAAAACCATGCCATATTCAGTGCATATACTAAAAGCATCACTCACATGCTGGTCACAAGAATATGTTTCTATTAAAAAAAAAGTTGTCACTTATAAGTCTTTTTTCCTGTAGTTCAGAAAATTATTTCTATTTGAATAGCTTTGAAATTTCAAGATCAGAATATTTTTATAAGCAATAGTTTAAAGCCTGTGATATAATCTGCAAACTATCAAACATACGATCTTCCTAATGTGCCAGGATTTTGATTACATAAAAATACTTTGTTGATTCTTAGTGAATATTCATGAATGGTGTATATATATGGTTGGTATGCATATGCACAGTATAAAACAACATGGTAAAAAATACATCTTTATACTTACGGAAGATTATAAAAATAAATAATTTCTTTCTATATCCTTTTTCCCCCTCATTTTTAATTAATGCCTACTTAATGACTATCTATACTATCTTGGTATAATTTCTGCTGTGGTGATGTCTCTGTAGAATCATTGATATTTCCTCTAAAAGGAGAATTGGAAGACAGTCTATATTAGCTACTAGTTTACTTGACCATGTCCTGGAATATCCCTAGCCTTCAGGCAAACTCAATGAATTTCTCTCCTGTTTTAGAGTGTGTAGAGGCAGCTGATAGGCTTAAAGTCATGGTCAATGGGGATCTAGTCAAAACAGTCAATATTATCCATAAAGTGAGTCAACTCATTTTAAAGCAGGCATCTACTTTTAGTCAGATGAATCATTCTCTAAACTTCATTGATGTAGATATGTCAAGGTGGATTAGATGGATCCCACCCTCACATTCCCTTGATATTTCTCCTCACTTGTTTGAGAGTGAATTGAGGCACTTAAAAAGAATTTTGCAGTGCAGTTTGCATTGCATTTGCAATTGGGACAACAACTCAGCCTTGCTGAGTTTACTGTAAGTTACCAGCTTGGTAATGCCAACTGTGTGTATGGGGACTGTACTGTGTATGAACTGGTCATGGTCGATACATGAGTCAGTGGTGCATTCAGCATTTAAATGCAATAAGTGCCTTCGGTGTTCTTACTGAAAAATGGCTCTAATGAGAGCCATATTTATATTTTAGCAAGCTTGCTTTTCAAATAGCTCCAGAACTTTTAGATTAAGTTGGCTGACAGATTCTAAACAATTTTCCAAGTGTTGTACCAAATCCATATTGGGTACAAATTCTGACTGCATGTCATTATATAATGCATGCTAAGTTTTGTCTGTGAATTTGTTTACTTGCATGTGAACAGAGGAGCAACCTCATCTTCTTATTCTGAACCTCCTACCACTATGCTCCTTCTCAGGAACAGTGAGGAACTTGAAAAGATTGGACTGAAGCTGCAAATGTGTTAGATAAAGGAGAGAGAAGAAAGATAGGTGTGATGAATCAACAGGTACAGGAAAGGGGAAAATACCCTGAACTTCTAAGCCATGTTGTTTTCTCCAAACATTGTGCCATTTTCTATCTCTGTCCCTCATATCAATTGGGTTATTTGTGTAATGCCCAGTTCCATGTTTTCCTTAGCATGTTGTTGGCAGGTAGGTGAAAATGACAAAAGAGCAGATGGCCCAAAGCAGTGGTGAGCAGTTGTAGGTCCTTATAGCAACCAGTAGCACCATGTTTTGGCACAGATGGAGTGGCCTTTGAAGGCTTTATATTGCAGATAAAGATTAGAGAATAAATTAGCAGAGGCATTAAATGTAATGAATTGATATCCTGTTTGGTTGTCTGGTTTTGTTTTTTTGGTTGTTTTTTTTTTTTTTTTTTTTTTTTTTTTTTTTTTTTTTTTTTTTTTTTTTTTTAATATTCTCTAGCAGCATGAATTGGGATGGGGGTCACTCTTTCCTCTGGAGTTGTGTTAACAGGCAGGTCATTATAGGAATGCTTCCACCCCCACTTACTCTATGGCTGAAATGCTGGAGACAGATTATTTGTTCCTCTGCTCTGCATCACACTGCGTAATTCTGGATGCCTTTTGCCTGGAGGAAGTCACAGCCCAGCTCAAGGTTCAGAGGCTTCCTTAGCAGTGTGGGAGGAGAAGTGGGAGTGGATTTCACAGAAACCTCTGATCAGGAAGCTGCCCAAGCAAGCTAGTGGGGAATGGCTGCATTCCAGGGGAGTTTCCTACTTGCTGTGCCACTGGAGCATGCTGAGGAGCATATTCTGGCCTGTGCCAAGCGCTCTTGTCTTCAGCTGCCTTTTTCCAAGCTCCTGATGGAAGGGTTGTGCTTCAGCCTGCAGATGAGGCAGGGTGGGAGCTTCCTGTAATGGGTATCTCATTTAGGCTTAAGAGGTGAGCTAGCAGGTTTCAAGGGCTGTCAAGACAATAAGGCTAAGATTCCTTGCCTTGTGGCAAAAGTGTAGGTTCATAGAAATGCAAGTAACTACCAACAAGTGCCTCACTGGAGATGAGAAAGCTCTGCATACCTTTTAACCTTCCAGGAGCTGGTGCCAGGTAACAAAAATCTCGTATCTCTGCCTTGTTCCAAATACACAGGTTAAAGCAGGTTGTATGCTTGCAGGAATATTTTTTCAGAGCAGAATTCAGTAGGCTGGTTTTGCACCTGTAAGAAGCTGGTGTGCTATTTGCCTTTTTCCTGGTCTTTAACTAATTGCAATTTGAAAAACATTGTTTTACGGTGTCCTTAACATGGGCTTTATAGTAAGTAAACATTACATCCTGTTTATATGGTCACATCCAGTAAAACCCAAATATTGAAATTTCTGCAAATTCATCCCACACTTTATTTAGTTACATTATATGCATTCAATGTATTTAAAGATTAAACAATGTTAAAACAATTTGTTACTGTGGTTTAAGCAAATCTTTATGGGTTCTTTGTCCACAATCTTGTCTACTTTAGAAATTTGCCCCATTCCTAGGAAAAGACTTGAAAGAAAGAAAAAAATGATAGAAAATGTAAACTTGCTTCTTTATTGTCAGTGTGTAAATATTTTTATGGAATTAATATTATGAAGAGAGAACCTTACTTACACCAAATAATTATATGGGTAGAAGAGAACTGTTATATGCATAGAAAAAAAAAAGGCATACAAAGTTCCAGTGTATGTAACCTGACATATCAAATACATTTAAAAATAGTGATTATATAAAATGTTGTCTGCTACAGAAGTTTTTCAAATTAATGCAAATAGAAATACCACTACCCTCTTACTTATATATGACCAAAATCCTAGAGTCACAATCATAACTCTTAGCAGTGGAATTGATATCATCATTGGTGACACAAGTATTCATTCCTTAGTCCTCCAGGAATGAATAAACAGGCTGACCTTTTGTCTCACATAATGAATATCTTATGTAATCCTTGAGTGGCTCCACCTATATACAACAGCATTTATTACTTAAACTACTGTAAGAACAAAATAAATGACAGCATGTTGAATGCAGGATCCTGCTCTCAAAAGCACACATATTTTTTCTCATGGGAGAAGAGTAGAGCAATTAAATGAGGGAGGACAGATAAGAAGAAGGAAAGGGAATAGATGTTCTCACATGCATGTCTCATTTAAAACTTTAAAAAGCTTTAATACAACAGGAGATCTAAAATCTATACACTGAGATAGGGTGTAATAAGGCATTGTTTATATAGCTCACAACTGTTGCAAGGAAACCATGTAGTCTCTTTGAGAAGTAGGGCTTAGGAAATCATGCTGGTTTTCAGAATAGCTGTTGAGGTGGGCTTATGGTAGGAGCTGTTTTGTCAGAGTCAACAGAACTAGTTGTAAAATCATAGCCTAATCCTGAATCAGCTATTAAACCTATGGTCTTGTTGCTGTCACCTCCTCCTCCTTCTCCCATCTACTCCAGCTGTCATCCCAGAGGCTCCTACCTGGGCAGCTTCCCTGTTTGTGTTTTCATGAATCTGGAAATATGCTCTTACAGGCAGATAAACAGCACTGAGGGAAAGACTTCATAGGAGTTTCACTCTTAGTGGACATCAGAAAGTTCATAGAAATAATGTGATGCAAACCAACTTGCATCAAAGTTTGTGCTTTCTTAGATGTTTGGTCAGGCAGGCTTAAGACACAAATCCAAAAGGAAAACAAGCTTCCTTAGATTGATTTTCAATGAAATGTGCTTTAATTAATCTAACTTTTGACTTTGGTTTCCAGCAGGACTTACTAGAATGAGAGCTTTGGTATCCTTCTCCTGGCAGATGATTAACTTTATTATTTAAATAATTAGATGATATCTGGGACTAACAAATCTTAATTTCATACTGAATTATAACACCATGTTTTAGACACCAGACTTGAGGAAAGAAGACAATCAACTGGAAACAGTCCAAAGGAGAGTGACAAAAAAGACAGAAGTGTAGAAATTATAACCTAAAAGGAAAAAAAAAATTATGTTCATTTAGTCTGACAGAAAAGATAGAATGAAGACACTATAATACAAGAGGTTCCTCCAAGGAGGAAAAGAACAATCTATTTCCTTTGCCTGTTTGATAGAACAAGAAGTAATAGGCTAAATTACAGCAGGGAAGATTTATTTTTAAAATTACAGAAAACTTTAATGGTGAGGATAGGGAATAGATTGCTTGGCAAGCCTTTGGAGTTTCCATCTCAATTGGAGATCTGTAAGATCAGAGTACTTGAAAAACTGCTTCCTGCAGGAAGGAGGATGTATTAGGTGTCATCTGGAGGTCCCTTCTAGTTGTTCTGTATATTTTATTCTTGTAGTAAAACTGGATTTTAAAAGATAGGATTGATGTACACTTCTTACACTATCTTTTTCATGTCTTCAAGCAGTGATAAAATCCTCCTGTAGAAAGGAGAGTAAACAAAGCTGTTACTCCAGTGATCTTGTAGTAAAAAATGGAAATACGTCTTGGAACAAAGTACTTTTTGATATACCTTCATTTAGATAATTGCACAAAAGTAGTTGGAAAGGTGGCCCGTAATAGAGAAAAAGCAGATAATGTGATAAAATTCATTTGTTTAAAATTACTTTTTCGGCATCTGTTACTGTTGTACTAAATGATATCACTGTAGATCACTCGTGGAAACTTCAGAAATCAATTGAATGCCCTAATAGCATGCAGAATGCTAAATATAATTTTAGATGTTTATTTTATCATTCCTTCTATTTTAAGGATTTCATTTAACTGGAAATATTAGAAGTAGCACTAAAGTTCTCAAAAATTATATGTATCATGTGAAATCCATTCAAAATCTAAAAGGATAAAGTGCAGATACTTCGAGATAACTTTCAAAGTTCTTATTACTGTATTACTTGTATTTAAAGTTGAGTCTTCCAGAATAAAATGGTTAGGCCAGGGCAGCTGACTGTCCACTTGTAAATCACAATTCTCAAACACATACTTCTGACACAAAGTTTAGAATTTATTTATTTGTT